AAGTTTTTACATCAGCTACCTGCCAAAAAAAGTTCCGTTAAAATCAGTCCAGCCAGTTTAGAGATTAGCCGGAACAGACAGACAAACAAAAATTGTAAAAAAATATAATTTTGGTGTATGTACCATATTTATATTCATACACATGTAGTAAACAACGGTTATTTCAATTTTACAAACAGACATTTCAATTTTATTTCTTTGTATAGATGTATTTACCAATAATATGTATTTATGTATATATTAGCACAATCTCTGCTTATCCTGGACTAGATGGCGCTGTATGAATAGCCCTGGGCAGTATTATTTAAATACTTTCAAATAAAAAAATGTATAATTTATTAAACATACACATAATAATTTATGTTATACTAACTAAAATATCGGTATATCGGTTAGTTACACGATTAACCCTAACGAGCAGCGCTTGTTACTAACACATTATGACGTCATCAATGTGAATTTTAATTAGAACGTCTAGAACATACGCCGGAGCTGAATTTGTGGTACATGCACACGTCTTAAGCAATCGATTTGTGTTAACGAGTCTCCCTAGTCAAGTTGGGCGCATTCATGTGAAACATTTATATACAAAACCGTCTGGCGTTGAAGCATAGACGTTACAACTTATAACAATAGCACGGTACTTGACAACAAGTTAATAACACCACCTACTCGTATACAACTTAATAACACATTTTCATTATAACACCTAATATTGTAAATGAGTTTGTTCATTAATTTTATTAGACATTTTACTTTCAGAATTATACTAAAACTAACCATTACAGTTTTAGCGAACGATTGCAGAATGCGCTCCAAACTCGTGGAAGAACTTATAAGTTGCTGCTAAAGTCCTGTCTAACCGTCACAACTTTAGTCTGAGAGCATCGCCCAGATATTTTTAATGATAATAGCACGATGCTCCAAATTGCGATGGCTCTACTTCTTTAATATAATTGAAATCGGTAAATGGAAACAGTTATGGATGACAATGGAATGATGCACCCGACTGTGATAACGCTGTCAGCGCACTAGTGGAGGATGATAAGATGTGTATGAAGTCAGGTCAGTTAGCCCATCGTAAAATGCTAAATGATGATTTCCAGGCGGAACCGCGTGGAGGCTAACTTGACATGGTACATTGCTAGCAATGGGTTTATTAATCCACATTACTAACAATCTGATTCTCCTCAAGGGACAGTCGTCTATATACATGAACGGCATGAACAGCTCCTCGTCCATCACGTGATCATGTCACGCCTGATGCATAACTCATGCGTTGCCTTTCGGAGGACTAAGATGTCAATCCCCAAATGCCGTTCTTTCACTGCCTTAACTCAACCTTACAATTGAAAGGCTGAAAAAATAGGTGGACCATGTCACGGCCGTGATACAACACATGCGTTGCCTTTGGGAGGACGAAGATGTCAAGCCCCAAATGCCGCAATTTCACTGCCTTAACTCAACCTTACAATCGAAAGGCTGCAAAAATTGGTGAACCATGTCACGCCTGTGACACAACACATGCGTTACTTTTCGGAGGATTACGATATCAAGCCCCAAATGCCGTAATTTCACTGCATTAACTAAACCTTACAACCGAAAGGTTGAAAAAATAGCTGAAAACTGACCATGTCACGACCGTGATATAACACATGCGTTGCCTTTCGGAGGACGAAGATGTCAAGCTCCAAATGCCGTAATTTCACTGCCTTAATCTTACAACCGAAAAGCTGAAATAGGTGAAACTGAAGTACGCAGACAACTTTTTACATACATAGGTAATTATAGTAAGTATCCACGCCACGATTACAACTGCTTTTTAAGTTAAAAGATTTAAACATGAAAAAATAACAGACACATTTTGATTTTATAATACCATATGAATAGGTATGGATGGACTTAATCCCCAACACTATTTTTGTTAACATTGCAACGACATTTTAAATTTTCGATATCGAATGCAGTACTAGAAATCATTTCCGACGGAACTTGCAGAGTTCGTTTTCGACCTGTCATAGCGCAAAATTGACATTTCAATTTATTTTCCGTTTGCGCTGTAAATTAAGGGATCCAAAATCAAAGCTCACCGCAACCTATATTCATGTAACGTTTCCACCTGACAATTTATAATCGACTATTAAAACCGATATTCAGATTAGTAATTAGTTCAAAAAATGTATACTCCACAAAGTAATTATTTACTCAATGACAAAAACAACTACTACATACAACTACTACTACATCAAGAAGAGATTCTAACCGTATAAGGAATTTGTATCGAAGTTTTGGACTACGATAAGTTCCACAAACGGTTGCAATCTCGCAATTTGCGGGTCTTGAGTAAAATTTTATACGACATTTAGACCTATGAAAATTTATTAATATTTTCTTCCACTTCCGCCGACACTGTGTTTTTCTTCTCTCGTATTAATTTGTGTACACAGGGTAATAATAAACCTTCTGGCTTTGTCGAAATAAGACATCCTCTGGCATGTACAGGGTGGTAGGTCCAATTTGAGTCAATATACGAGATTTCAGGATTCATCGTAGTAGGCAAAAAAAGGTTGGTAACAACATCTAGAGTACCTAAAAATTTTAAAAAAGGATTAGGTACCTACATGTCTAAAGATTCAGTATCAATTGAAAGTGAAATCGATACCATAATACGGTTTCATATTCACCTAAAGTTAAACACTAAAAATAGTACAAAGTAGGTAAAACATTTTTTTTCAATTAATGACATTTTTTATATCACAATGGTAGCAAACAATCGTACAGTCGAGCTGATGGTAAACATTAACCGTAACCTATGGACGGCAGAAACACCAGATGTGTCACGTGCGCTATGCTGAACTGCCTTAAAAACATCAATAAACCTAGGCTTGTTGAAAAATCCCATGCTGTAATCTCTAGACAAAACCTTGGTATATCGGTACCTCGGTACCATCCCACGCGGTAGATACTAAGTAGTCGCAGGAGGAAGCTCCTCTGAAACCGTTCGGTATCTCAGTATCATCCCACGCGGTAGATACTAAGTATACGCGGGAGAAGCTCCTCTGAAACCGCACTGTCCGAAAGTACTTATAGTAGATTCCAGGATATGAAGATGAATTTCCTGTCGATGGTGAGCAGTACGATGATAAAAGGTATCCGTAGGAATGTTGGAATGGCTTACGCGCCTACGCTAAAATTATAAGGATGATAAGATGAGTATGACGTCAGTTAGTACAGAGTAGCATTCATCAGAATTAACCACGCTGAGTTCGACCTGGCAAGGAACATTGCTAGCAAGGGGGCCACTAGTTCCTATTACTAACAATCCCCTACCCACTCCTCTTGTAAATCTTAAACTTCTCTTTGTTCAGGAATATTGCAAATAGTGATACCTAGGTACCTATAGCAGAACATCAACATTAGTTTCGGTATCGGTCCAAAGTGAAACCGATACCAAAATCCGGTTTCGTTTTCAACTAATGTCGGTCGGAAATGCTGTTTAACTGGTGCTTCTTCTGGAATAACCACTGCATAGAACCGTAATTACTATGAACAATAATGTCAATAATACTATATGTCTATTTGTGGTGGTATTCTCAATATATCCGTCTTTTGTTTGCCTAATGGTTACCACTTTACAGATATTGCACAAGATGACAGACTAACTCTTTGCATATGTAGAGCTTGTAAAGTAGATTACTTTACTTTACTTGAACACTTTCATGTTTATTTCATCATAATTGTACGTAAAATCATACTTACACGCCTATTTTCATAAGGAAAAACTTAAGAATTAATTATAATCATTACACCGGTTTGTCATGTTCTGTCAATTAAAACGTAAATATTTGTAAATAAAATTGTCGGTTTTATTCCTTAATGCTGGCTGGATATATTATAATACATTAACAAATCAATACATTATGTAAACACAAAGAAATTTGGGTTGAAATCGAAAACATCGTTACGTGTTCCATTTTACTATTCGTTTAGTATTCCTAAATAAAACCCAATTTTATCTACTTTAGTCAAAAAACCGGTTACATTTAGATAATCTGTACGTTGTAAACTTGACAGTATTTTTAATTTAATAGGGTCTAATGGTGATTCTCTTAAAAAATTAATAATATTTCTAGTCTATAAAAATAATAATGTTTCTTACCTTAAAATTCCGAAGAAGAACATTAAAATCACATAATTTATTTTGGCACTTCGGTATAAAACTTATAATTACAAAATTTTGAAAAGAAAATTATTTTTTTAAACATACATATTCAAAACATTTTGGATTTACACTTCGAGTTAGGATTACTACAGATTATTAATTTTGACACTTCAATGTAGATGACGTAAGTGTAGGACAAAAATTTCCGACTACTCTGAGTCAACTAGGGCGAACTATGCTTCTAAATATGAAACTTTTCTCTATGGTCTGTGATACTGTTTTACCGACACGGAACAAATCTGACAAGTGTTACTAGCTCCTAAAATAACTATTGTAGCGCAAAATTTTTCATTTTGATGATACTTGCCTTAAATGATACTTTCATTATTAAATTACAATATGTAACTTTATTAACTAAATTTTAATAAAGTAATCTTTTTAAAAGGTGTTTCAGGTGCATTCGACTTCTATTCTAATACCACGGTCCCATCTTGGTAACCATTATATAAGAACGCAAAAACTAAAAGGGCAATATGCAAGACATAATTGCAATAAAGACTAGAAATACTAAAGTAAATAGTATTCTTAGAATACAGCAAATAAAATCAGATTTTGAAATTCCCATCATCGAAACTTAAAGTTAGATATATGTACAACCAAAAGTAAATTACGCCATCTAACTTCATTACAAATAACTACAGTTTGTGGATTGTGTATATAGATGGCATACATTTGAAGAATGTGTACTGGGTATGTAAATACAGAGTAATAGAGACTAGACCAATGCAATATTCAAAGCTGTCAATGTCAATATTTAATGATTTTGCCTTTACCTGGGCCTGGGACTGCCTGGGAGTAAACTAGGTTGCTCAGGTTGCTCTAGATATTATACCACACAAAGAAATCAATCTTTTCATCGCTCATAAAATATTTCTCGCTGAAGTGACTGTGAACCTCTACATAAACTTATAAATCTTAAATTAATTATTATCACATAACATTTAACATCAGTTATTAATTATTATATTAATTTATTGTAGACTTTTTATTTATTGATTTTTAATTCCAATGCAACCTCTTATTTCACCCATTGGTAAGTCTTTACATTTATTATTATTATTATTATTATAGTATATTAAATTATTTTCTTTTGTTTTAGTACGTCTTGAAACCTAATTTGAAATTAATTTCCATTTTCCTCAAAATCTGTAGACAGAACGATATAGCTTTTTATTGATTTTTATTATGGCTTTTATATATAGATATACATTAAATTTTATTACATGTAGGAATTGTTTTACAAAAGAAATGAAATAAAAATTCTAGATTTAGTTTAATTAATCCAATCTATTATTAATAGTATATTCTACCTCTATATAGTACTACCTCTATATTAATTAAATCACTATATATGCGTGTAGAAAGATTTTTTAATAAATTGTTAAGATAAGATTTTTTAATAACAATATAGTTTGTTAAAAGAACAGAACTGATTGAAATGAGGGGGAGATCACTAGCTCTTTTCAGAAAAGATGCATAAAATTCTATACATATTCTATCTACAATACTGGGCCTCTGGGCACAAAAGTTGGACTTGACCCCCCCCCCCTCATTAATGTCTAGTTTTGTCAGTAGCATTCAATAGCAATCAGTAGCATTATAATAAATATAAAATAGTGATGACATAAATTTACATGATTTCTATGCTTCGGAGAGAAGCTTAGCTGGCTACTTTAGTAATCTCAGCTCTACTCATAAAATGGCCCAGATGAGAGGCTGTTTGCGGAAGATAGAGTCGAATTTAAATTATAATAGTAGAAACGGCAAAAAATAGTTGAACGGTGTAACTCATCACTACCCAACTTAATACATATAACAATTGTGGGCCCAAAATTAAAATAATTTGATATGTGTTATAAAATGCTATATAATTTTGCAATGGTTTTGTTTTAATTTTCAAGTTATTAGTCTTTAGATAAAATCTTTAATATCTCAAAGTAAAAGAAGTTATAATATTCTCTTTTACTATGGGTATTCTGAATTATAATTTCCGTCCAAAATATAATTGTATTGTGAAATCTTATAAATTTTATCGGAGAAATGAAGACAAAGGTGTACTATTAGAAAAATATATTGTAACTGCAAAAATTATGTATAGCTTGATAAATTACTATGTGTATAATTAGATAAAGATATGAAGAAACAGCTGCAATAGCAAAAACTGCAATTTATATTGGAACAAGCTCGTGACATTGTTTTGTCACAGGAAACTTCGGAATATATTACTATATAAAATAATACTCCAGTACTTTATTTTTTATTATTTTACCTTTATTTCTCATATAATTATAGTTTTTAAGTATGTATTTTGTTTTTCAAATTAATTTTTTTCTTTTATATATGATTCTAGGTGAATTATGTAGCAAATTGGAGAAGGCTGTTAACCACAGCCTTCTCCAACTTGCTCCATGATTTTCTATTAATAGTTTAAAGATTTAAGCATACAGACATTAGAATTATTATGAATTTGACTTGTCACCTTCAAAAGATTGAAGATTGTATGTAATATGCACTTTTGTTATCCATTCGTACTAAGTACTTAAAGTACGCATGTAAAATTATGCAGTCGGATAGTATGGATGTAAACTTATCGAGTCGGGTACTACAATATGCAATTTAATACAATAATATCATAATTAAACAAGGCATCTCCCAGATAAGACCCACTAAAGAATTGAACTGAAATATTAAATATACAAATAATTAAATTCCTTCTTTTTTTTTGTAAAAACAAATGGCTGCTACAAATAAAAATTCTATGTGTACAGTAAAATTTATAGTGCAGATAATTAAACGACAATTTACTTAATATAATAATTTTTATTGAACTAATTTTGTTTTATTATAATATAGTTTTAATTATGTTATTCTTATTATCATGTTTGCCTTGTCCTTATGCCATAATTTGGGAATGGCTATGCACTAATATTAAATACCTAAAGTAATGAAGCAATTTCAATATAGATTCCCCCTCATTGCAGGTCATAGATAATTTTTGTCGGAAAAACAACTCGTAGGGATGAAAGTGTGTGACATTTACTTATATATCAAGAATAAATAGAAACGTAATATTTATTACAACAAGGAAATAATATCGTAAATTAGGTACTAATTCTAGTCAAAAATAAATAGAAATATTAAATTTATTAGAAAATAAAAATATTACCTTAAATTAGGTACTAAGTCCATGAATAGCGAGTCTCGGTGCATCGTCTAATGAATTTATGTGCAACAAATTGTGATAAGTTGTGGCGTTGTTCCGTACTGGGGTACCTGAGGGACGCACAGCTTTAGACTAATGTAATTAATTTTCACGCTAATTAACGCACGAGCTACAGAACTTATCCCTTAATTAGTGCGTTGTAGCGGAATAACTTACAATTGTCGTTTGCGTGAACGGAGCTGTGAGCATATTTAATGATATCCTCACTAATATTATGTAATATTCGGAATGTTATTGTTTTTTGCTTTGAGTGTTCAATTTTATTGATTTATTTATGATACATAGGTGACAATTTTAGGGTACATAAATAGTACATATATTAGGTAATACATATTTATGAACACAAAATTATTGCAGAGATGTACCTTAATTTTAATGATCACGATGATACATTTAAATGGATTCTATAATAATTACACATGTCAACATTTCCTTGTAGTACAGTCATCTGAGAAAAATAACAATCATGTAGTATATTTTAGCGAATAGGAGGTCATAGTTTATAGTTTTGAATAGTTTCGTTATATTTTTTTCATACATGTAATACTTATAATATAAACTACTTTCTATGTTTTTTATTATTGTATTTGTTCTGTTATTATCCCTACGCTTGTTAATCTGGAGAAAAAGACATATCTAACGTAGCCAATTCTAAATGAACTTTTAAATCCTAACTGATGTTATACAAACTCGGATTATTAATTACTAGAGGGGACTTGTGACATAGCTAGCTATGTACCGTTCATATCAAGTTCCCCACGCGGTGCCCCGTACAAAGCATTTGAAACCATTGCAATTAATTCTTTGTGAATAGCCCACAGTGGGTGCTCCATCGTTGTACAAACCAAAGCAAATAAATATGAGTACGCTCCCCTAACTGAATTCGCGCGGATGTAAGCACTAATGAATAAAATGAAACGAGGCCTTTGATTTACAAAACATAATGTGTGTGCATGGCGCATCTTTTTATATATTATTTATGTTTTAGTTGCCTATTTTATGTAGAAAACTTGTATTCCGTATTTTTTCGTTTCTTTCGCATTCTTTCTGTGCATTTAAAATATACTATTTCTTTATAAAAATGCCGTCTTTCTATAATTATATTTACTAGCTCGATATTAAAGTCCCTTCTCTCACACTGTCTATATTAATTTATATGGAGATTTTATCCCAATTTTGAAAAGTAATTAACAGTAATCTCTACATATATGCTAATAAATAAATTTGATGTGTCTGTTTGTAATCGCAAATTAACAACTTTTCACTAAATGTATATGGAAGTACTACGACATCATAAAAATATTAAAAAACAGAGGTGTCTGATTGTTTTTGTCAATGTCTGAAGCAGCTGGATTTTGATGGGACTTTCACTCACAAATGCCTAATGTTATAAGGCGTAACATATTACGCTACTTTTATTTTAGAAAATTATTTATTTTAATACCAACAGTTACAGCTAGTATATACTGATTATAAAGAGATAGTTTTTTGAGCTTGGATTATCGGTATAATATCCGGTAATACTGACACTATTTTGAAAATTCTTTTAGTGTTGGATACGGCGACAAGTAATCATTAAGGGAGGCTATAAAAAAGGCATATATAATATCATACACCCCATAGAAGTGGACTGCGATGCCCAATAATACAAAAACGACGAAAATGAGGCGTCGCCGAACCAGCGCAGGTCAATAATTGATTCGCTATTTTCCTTTGTACATATATTTAACCTCAATATTTACTAGCGATGGCGTTCGGAACAATTGTAGTACCTATAATGTAAATTTTATAACATAAAACAACGGGAATACCTATATAGCAATTCCTCTTGTTTTCCTCGGTATACCTGTATATCCATATGTAGAATGTTTAATTACTGTCCAGGCCTCGTGAAACCGGCGTCATTTACCACCTTTTAATTCGCATTATAGAATAAATAAGACTAGCTAAAAATCACCGGTTAAATCTTGATTAAATATATATAGGATTACAAGTGTTTAAAATAAAAAAGTATCAACAAAACCGGACCACTTAGAAACAAGTTTTGAAAGATAGAAATAGCAGTTTAAAATACAGACAAATTGAGGACCATATTTTTTTTATTTGGTTGAGAATTTATTGCTGTGTTTATAGTAGCTAAAACTCGAAAATGGTTTTGACTGTTTATAATTTTTTTTTTAATTTTCTTAGGTAAATGAATGACCATTTACTTTGTATTACTGGTCGCAAAGAATTATTTGTTTTTCTTATTGTAACATTTCAACACTTTATCGAATACACGCCGTGCAAATCACATAACTTTTTACTAAAACAAACTTTCCCAATACAAAAGCCTTTCTTAATAAAGTTTCTTAAAATAGTCGTAATTTTATCACATCTTATATTGGGTTTAGTTTTGGTCGCTAATATAAAAGCCCCCTGTATTTTGGTGTTGGATGTTAATGAATTTTGGTGTAAAAATTAATACTATCTAAAAAAAGCAGACGAAATTGTGGGTAACAGCTAGTCGTTTATAATTAACCTCATGTAAAATGATACGATAAAAGTTTAGTTTATAGGGGTGTATCTCATACATAAAGAACAACAAAATTAGTTATTTATGAGGTGCACAAATATAAGATACCTAATTTTCATGATAAAACACACGGGAACTTTGCGTTTTAAAATTCAACTTTAATAAGTTGGTTGTTTATCAATTATTCACTGTCATAAATGCTTCAGTTCATTCGATCGATTATTTCTACTAGCATACCCGTACTATATCGTCTGCGTTTTTAATGGTGCTGTAAAATATGTGTCAACCCTTTTTTTTAACATGTGGAAATATCTTTACTAAGACAGTCCCTCCCCGGAGGGATGGCGAGGGGTATGTGAGTTTAAAACTCACTAAAAAAAACATATGTTGCCGCTGATGCTAGAGTTAGCGTTCTACCGCGACTCCGGTGCGTTGGCCGCCCTGTAGATGTAGGGCACGCCCTACTCGTTGGTTAGGGCGACCTATTTCGCCCTATTCGCTGGTGGAAGCGTGTGTACACGCGACGTGTCAACCCTAGTGCACACGTAACACTACTCCACGGTACACTTATCACTAAATGGAGACTGCTATGAGTATCAATTTACTCAGCATTTAACTTGCTGGCGGACTGCCAGTATATTCGTGACACGTTTATGATTTGTTCACAAACAATTATGGTAGAACTAGAACTCGACGAGTTGTGTTGCAGTTAGTTTTTTTTACTGGTATATGTGTGAAATTTCGTTTATTGATTGCTATAAAGTACGTAACTGGTTTTGGGCTATACCTCATAGCAATTTCCATAAAGGCAAAATTATTTTAAACAAAGTATTTTGTCTAATTGTCTGCATGCATACTGCCGAGCAGCTTACTCTGTAAGCTATATTACGGTTTGTGTATTACAGTAAAATTACAGGACATACATAGTCTTTAGGAATGGCAACCAATAAAGTAATGTCGTAAGACGACATGATATCAAGGATGCTATTCATTCATATATTAGGCATTCCAATAGCAAAAAACAGTGTTATATAAATAACTGGTAACTACACCCAGGTGGGATTAAATTTAAAATAATTTTTAGGAGTTTTAATAACAACATAATTGTAGCGTGTCTTTTTTTGAAGCTACTCTAAATAACTATATTTGATATTTTTTAATTGGATTGCGGCTTTGGATTCAGATGTATCAGCTAAACATTGACATGTCAAATGGAGAGAACTTTTATTTTAGATATATTTTCAGGATAAAAGTCGTGGTGGTATGTTTAATAATAAATCAACATTTTTTAGAGCACGAGTCTCGTCACGGCTCGCAAAGAGTAGAAAATGAAGAGCGGGAGATGCCGGCCGAGGACACTCCTCTCCTTAACAGGTTTCCTCAAGTCACTCATATGGAGCGGAACCCCGTCACAACCGCTGTCGTCAGCTTGCTCCTCATTATATTGATAGCTGGAGTTATCATTGGAATTTATCTATTGATTTTACAGAATAATTCTGGTGAGTTATCTATGCAAGTTGAAGTTGTGTGTATTTTATTAATTACCAACCTATTAATTAATTGAAGAAAACACAGATTAATCTGTACAAATATACTTATAAAAACATAGTAGTTAGATAAAAGTGGTATCTGTAACATTTTTGATAAGTACGACGTGTTTAGTTTGCATTGGTTGCTTCGTCCCGTCATATTTAGGAATGCAAAGTTGGACGGACCGTCGGGTTCCTCCGGCCGCAGATTGATAATGTGAGCCCAGATTAATATTAACGAAAAATATGATGCATTTGCTTTTTTCAATCTCAACTCTCACCGTCGAAAGGGAATTCGGATAGATATATTCAGTGGATATAAAGCAATTTATTATAATATAGTTATACAATTTATTTTTGATTTTTAACTGTTACTTATCAACAAGAACACTAATCTTAAATGTGGTTTTTATACTTTTTATTCCACAACCAATGTGCCTAATAAATTTATCAACTCTGGAACCAAACTCTGGAACCTAAGTAGTTTCTACAGTACGGTTTCAGAGAAGCTTCCTCCCACGTACACATAGATTGAATGAACTACCTCCCGATGTTAGGAGGGACGGGGATTGTTAGTAATGTGGACTCCTCCTAATCAGGAAGTCAGGAGTCAGGTCAAGTCAGGTTGACCTCCACGTGGTTCCCCCTGGAAACCATCATAATAAATTCTTTGTGAATTTGTCACGATGGGTTAACTGACCTGACCTCGTGTTCATTTTATCATCCTCCACTGGTGCCCCGCCAGCGCAAACCATTAGCGCAGGCGGGGCATCATTCCATTATCATCCATAAAAAAAACCTCCTATGTTATATCTATAGATTGTAGCATGAGGATTTTCAAGAAGGGTATATTTAGGTTTCTTAAAGTTGTTTCAGGTGTTCCTAGGCTAGAGTAACGATTTACTATAAAAAAAATTATACCTAACTTGGGTATAGATGATGGGAATAATACAAACAAGCATACTACAGCTAATTATATAATAATACTCATTAATAGGAGAGCTCGTATTGTGCGAATCACTAGTAGTACTAGTAGTACCTTTAAATTATAGACTATACAGCAACGTCATAATAATTAAATACCTATTTACATTACGCTTTGTAATAACTACTTCGATATTATGTGCAAACATAGTATGTGAAATACTACATAATATATTTGTAACAATCAGTCCAACATTAAGGAAATTTTATTTATACATAAATATGAATCATTTAAGAGTTTTTGTTATTAATATTTTGACTTATTGTAATTTTTTTGTTACTCTATATTTATTTACTATGCAAGTAAATTTTTAGAGAATGTCTTAATGTAGTAATTTCCTTTTGATTTGTATGTTTGGAGAGTCATTATATAAAAAATATAATAATATGTATAAATAATATAATTTGTACAAATGTCACTACAAGTTAGACTTTTCCAAAAGTTGTGTGATTGGTTACCTCAGTCTCACCTATTTCAGCCATCTGGTGTTCGACCAGCTTGTTTGCCAATCGTCCTTGGTGTAGCAGTTTAGCATATCGTCTTGCTTCGGATGGTTGCGAGTTCGATTCCTTGTACAGTCCAGACATTTGTACCCATATATGATTGTTTTTATCGGTCTAGGTATTAGTATAATTTATAAAAAAATATATATTAAATATTTATATCAGTTGTCTAGTACCAATAAGACAAGTTTTGCGTAGCTTAGGATTAGATGACGTTGTGTGAGGTTGATACATATTATTATTACTAATATATTTGTGTTTCTAGAAAATATACTGCCACCTGTTAGCAATAGTCCTCTACGGATTGTCAACCGATCACAATGGAGTCCCGGCGAACGAGCTACGTCTTCACTGCAACACTTCACGGCGTCCTATCTGATTGTGGTGCAGACAGATACTAAACGGTGCGATACGATTGATTCTTGTAGCGCAATGCTGCGTACGCTGCAGGTATGGATTACAAATTATCTATACTTTTTTTTTTTAATAAATAGGTGCACTCGCCTGTTCTAACGGTATACGCTATCCGGGCACCAGTGGAGGGTGATAAGATGAGTATGAGGTCAGGTCAGCCCATCGTGGCAAATGCACCAGGTATTTAACATTTCCAGGAGAATCCGCGTGAAGGTTAATCTAACATGGGACATTGCTAGCAATGCAGTTATTAATCCACTTTACTAATTATCCCCTTCTCCCAAAGATCCCTATTTAACAAAGGAAAACGCGACCAGTGTTTGATTGTCACTTCAAAAATGTAGACATTTTGAACAATTCTGTAATTAGGTATTTACTCTATGGTCAGGTATCCGCCATTTTGTAGTGCTAAAACGCGCGAAACACGCACGGTTTAGTAATCGGGATTGCGCGGATGGACTGCGTGTTATTCCTGAATGTATGATAATGGAATGTTGCACCCGCTAGCGCTAACTGTTTACGCTGGGGGGCACCAATGGAGGGTGATAAGATGGGGTCAGGTCAGTTAGCCGATTGTGACAATTTTAACAGGAATTTGCACGTTTCAAAGCCCCGTGGATCAACCTGACAGTAATGGAGGATGAATAAACCTAGTAATGGAGTCTTTGATCCATATCGCTACCAATTCTTTTCTAGACGACGGTTGACGATTTTCTATGAGTGGGTCGTCAGCTTTTTTCAGTCCAATTCCGTCATACTCGTAAACGGATGCTGCTTGTAGGGACTGGTCTGCTCTAATCCCTATGACTGATTTCCTCTAATTAATTGTTTAACCAGTTGGTTATATATTCAATATTTTTTCTATTTGAGTATTTAATTGAATTAGTCCTAATTGGTGGTTTGTATTCACACACTTAAACTTAAATATGTAAAGTAATAATAAAATTATTTAAAAGCTAGTTTCTTGCTCGTTCTTCTTGTGATGAGACAGCTTTCCGAATGAGCGGTAGATTAAAGAAATGTAATGACTATTCAAAAGTGCTTCAATGTAAGTTTATTTGAATAACTGATTTTCTATTCTAATTGCATGAAAAATAGATATATAAGCGTCATGGTCTAATAGTTAATAATTACTAATAATTAACATAATTTAAGTAAATAATGCACGAGTTGTGTACATTTTAGCACTGAAGCCGCATTGCTAAGGTTGGTGGTGAAATATGATCGAACAGTTCGTATCGTGACCAATCTAGCACACATCTCTTATTACATGATAATGACATCATTTCACATCTAGGTACCAGACAGTGATAAGATGCATTTTATTTAAATAGAAATTAATTTTGAGGTATACTGACTTAAGGTTCTCTGTATATAATTGCTTATACTTATAAGACCTTTTGTAATGCATTATTTAATATAGTTTTTATCAGGCTTTTAGGTTATTATCAGGAGAAGGGTTGTTGATTTTGGATTTCGTCAGAAGTTTGTTCATGGTGAACTGGTGAATTGATTTTGATGATTGTTTTTTATTTGAAAACTGAGACTCTGACCTGGATTTATTTAGATATTCTTAATGGTAACACGAGTATAATTTAAATAGTTCCCTATCGTAACAAGGAGTTATATATTATTAATTTACGCAGAATTGCATTGTCATTTATTGATTCTATCGCCCATTGATGACTACATATAAATCCTATTTTGTGGAAAAGAAACACCTATGAACTGTTTTGCGAATTATAAAAAGAAGAATGAAATTAATCTTATATATAAAATTCTCGGAACGAAAACTGTGACAGTTTTCGTTCCCATACTCCTCCGAAACGGCTTGACCGATTCTCATGCAATTTTGTGAGCGTATTGACTAGGTCTGAATGATGAATGAATCGGCCAACATTTATTTTTCATCCCTCTAAATGTTAGGGGTAGTCCACCCCTAATTTTTATTTTTATTTTAAGGCAAAACAACGTTGGCCGGGACAGCTAGTGTATTTATACAAAAAGGTGAATGTTGAATTTAAACTATATATCTATACTAATATAAGACTGAAAATATTGTTTGTTTGTTTGACGCGATAACATTAGTAACTACTGGTTCAAATTGAAAAATTATTTTTGTGTTGGATAGTACAATTGTCGAGGAAGGCTTTAAGCTATATAACATTACTCTGCGACCAATAGGAGCGGAGCTGCCATGAAAAATATTGTAAAAGGTGGGGAAATGAAACGCAGACGAAGTAGCGCGGATCAGTTAGTCGATGTGCATAGATTAAAAACTAAGATGTGATATAAAAATAGCAGTCAGTAGAGAGGGCAGGTGAACTGGCCTCATATATAGGTTAATCAATAACCTGTGCTCAGAAGTAACAGCCCGGGTTTCATTCCGTAAATACAATATATATTTAGATATTGAAATGAGAACTACAGTTTTATAAAGAACACTAAGTTACAGATTGCATCTATTTCTAATTAAGTGCTTACCATAAACATTGTAAATATAGTTTTTTGTAATTGATACAGATTTTAATTTTAATTATTATAATAATAGCATACAAGTATATTACTATAGTTTAACAGTACAGTATTTTTAAAGGATTTTTTTTATTAAGTCGTATTTTTTTTGCTGTTCACACTATGTCTGATAGTTCTTGGTTTGCTTGCTTTCGAGCAAATATCTCAATTGATATTTCTACTCTGATCTGTCACGAGAGATTCTGGTCCATAGCTTCCCTGCTGCTTTAACTATTTCATCTTCCCATATTTTGATCGTTCTTATTTTTTCTTTCTACCAAGTAGTTATGATCTTACTCCAATTATCCTTTCGTAATGTGTGTCCAAGCCTATTAAAATATATTATTAATAATAAAATGTTATAATAATACTTACTTAAACTAAGTCATACCGGATAACTTATGTTGAAGTCTTTATTATCGACAGCGTAGGTGGTCTAGCGGTTCCGCATACTGCCTTACTTCCGCTGGTTTTGTATTCATGAGTATGTTTGTATCGGTCTAGATGTTTTCTATGATATATAATATATTTACGAAAAAAATAATCTACGTTTTTGTATCAGTTGTCTAGTAGCCATAACACAAGCTCTAGCTAGCTTAACTTGAGTCTAGATGGCGCAGTGTGAATTGTCCTGAGATTATTATTATATAAATTTAATACTAACTTAATTTTTTTTCAGAAAAAACGACGGGAACCATTGCCATACAACTTCCTGTTGTCGTCGTCTGGTCACATCTACGAGGGTCTTGGTTGGCATTTACCATCTAATATGTTCCCTGAGTATAACAGAAAAGCTGTTGTCCTGGCATATATAGGTATGTCAATTAAACTTGTCTAGATTGCTTCGGCCAACGTTATTTGCGATATAAATTATTTTTAGTATTATTGACCGGCACAGAAAATAGTCTGCTCTATTCAGAACTGTAAAAGTCGGTCAATCCATCGCGAACGAGTTCGATAGCAAACTGTCACAGAGACTATATTTATATATGTTACTAAATAAAATGTTAATGTGGTTCTACAGTGGTGGTTTCATAATGATATTAGTTATACATATTAGTCATTTGTGACATGCAACAGACGTGTGCTATTAATGTATTATATATATGTATTTATATACTATATATAAGATCTCAAATTCCAATTTTTAATTAATCTGACCTCAATAATTTTAATTTTTGTTTCCAAAATGTTAGAGTCAATATAGAGGGAGGGCAATTTGATTGTTAATGAGGTAATTCGAAAATATTAATAAATGAATTAAATAATATTTCATTTATAATATTTGATACCTAAATGTAATAAAAAAAATCTTATATGTGTCCACAAGGAACAATCCTTCATTAAATTTAAAAAAAATTAAATAAAGTATACTTATTAAAATTATTTAGAATTTGAATTACCGTTATTTTTATTTTTCTAAAATTTATTTACTGTGTTTCTTTAACAATATCCTAGTGACTTCTTCCTAGGACCTATCATTTAACAATTAATTTTTTTAATATTAAAAAATACGAATGCTGTTGGTCGCTGGTTCGATTCCTCGCACGGTACAAATTTTTGTATTAAATTAAAAAAAAAGAGAAGTAACAGTACATCAGTTGTATTAGACAACAAACACAAGCGTTATTTTTTCAGTGCCCTAATTAACTTGTGTTTGCAATTGGTCTCCAATTAGGGCTTAATTAATTAGGGCACTGAAAAATTAACGCGTTGTAAAAAAAATGTTTTGTCTATCTGTTTTAAGCTGTTTCTATATTTTGTATCTGATATAACTAACAAAGGTTTTTCATTTGTTTCCAGGAAATTATACCAAAACTCCACTCAGTGGTGTTCAGAAGCAGCAGACCAAAACCTTCATTGCAATGGCGTTGAGTGAGCAGCACTTGGATCCATCTTTCATTGTGTTCGGCAAGAAGACCAAAGAAGTTCCTAAGCTGCTGTTTCACAGCTTAGAAACACTTCCTCAGTGGAGTACTGAGCTGTCCGACACTTAAATACAATATTGTTATATTACTGATCTTAAACTTAGGAGATATTCTGTGTTTACTCGGATGATATTAATACTATTTACACTGTACTGTATATCTTGTATACATATATAATCGCTCTTCATATCTGATTATTAACGGCACGTACAAACCTTATCTGTCTTATTACCAAAAGATCTGATTTAATACTAGCAAAGAACTAAGTCCCAAACTAGTTATTATTACAAAACGCAGATTATCTCTAAACTGTGATTCTTTTATGGTATCTATGGTGACCATGTTGAACGATTTAACTCTAGTATTAAGTAATGCTCTGTTAGATCTCCGTTTTGTAATAATATTAGGTTTAATCCAATTATTAACTACAGGATTGACTTAAACTTAGTCGAATTAAATCAAATTTTGTCCGATTTTTGACAACCTTTTTGTAATAAGAAAAATAAGCAGTGATTTCTAATGTAGCGTCCGTGAAATGCATTTTGAAATATTTAATTCAAGTATTTTATCCATATATAACCACCTCTAATAGATAAGACAAAAATTATCCAAATCTTTTTTTCCTTTGGTAAGATTGGAACTCCGGATTATTGGGATATAAAAGCCGAGACGTAAATGGAAGTAATATGCATGACTGTTTCTTATTATGTAAGTTTAATATACAAATATAATACAGCTTGTAGTTTATATAGATAATATTATTATATATATAAATTACAACCTGACTAACTGTATCACGATTGATTTAACGCGACTATTCTTAACTCTTTTTTACTGTTTTGCAGTTTTTCTTTAAACTGTTATCTTAATTTGATAGTTACAATTAAGAGATAATATTAGTTAAAATTTATAAATAATGGGCTTACGTTTCGATTATTTTATGATATATAAATATTACATTAAGTATGTTTGTTTAAATTAAATGTACTGTGAAGTCGCTAGCGATTACGAGGGAGCTAGAATTGATTCCTGATACTCTAATCTAATATATACTTTGAGCGAGGGGGAGGAACTCAACAAAGTGTGACTTTGTGTTCCAAGGCGTGGATAGTCTTCAAAATTGAATAACGTAAAAATTTTAAATAATGTGTTATTTACAAATATAACACGGAATTGGAACAATGAATAAAACTTAAGGTTCAAATTGTTTTGTTAACGAGTTTACACTCGGTTTACTAGTGTTAAAATGCAAATGATGTGATACTGGAGAGAGGCTCTGAGCTTCAGCACTGAAAAGAACGGAGGTAGGGGTTAAAATTCATAAAGTTCATGTGATATAATTTATAGTTCACCCCTTATTTTATATACCTGATTGAAACCAAATATTTACGCTATAAGCTTTTAGTTGTAAAGACTGCTCAGAATTATTATGTTGTTAAGTTAATTAAAATTTATCATACTATGCGCTTATCCTAAAGTGTTTTGCCATTATATTATTTTCAACTTAGTCATTGATATTATATTAGAATAATAATTAGATATAACTTCGGTGGTAATGTTAACATTGTGATTACATTTGTGTCAAATTATTAACTGTCTAAAATAACATATCACATGGAATCTAAACTAAGTAATGAATAAGCACAGTACTTCAGATTTATGGAGATACATACAATATCTGCTACACTCACACTATGTACAATCTTTTAATATTATTATGTAGTGAAATCAACGTTTTTGCGTTTGTAGTATGTTGTCAGTAGTTAAATAAATACACAAATGACTAGCGCAAACTAGTGTATTTCTGTTTTATTGACTGCCTGTATCATGACTATAAAAGCAAAAAGGTCTTTAAGCTGATTTTCATGTATGTTAGTTTTACTTGCAGCAATTACGATTACATAATAAACAATTTATCAGTAATAAATAATATGAATGATATGCAATTAGCGTTTAGTAATATATGTGGAGTTGTGTTGATAAAGATTAGTGCAATATGCTTACATATACTTCTACATTCCATATGTAGTCCGGTTGAAAAATTAATGGTTATTGCAAATAAGTGGCATTTCTGGACTCGTATACAAGTATAGTCAGTGCTGGGTTAACATAATAGCAAATTCTACGACACTATTACCAACATTATCCAACCTCTGTGGCAACGCAAGGACTCTTTTTTTGTGTTAGTTATATGTTAACATTCCTAAGAACTAAGATTTCATATATTCCCAATCTCTAATATTATTGCCTTATGCTATCAACTGAAAGGCATCGGACGAAGCAAGACGCGCCTGTTATAGATATAACAGACTGAGGTACTAACATAGACTACTAAAATCTAACTTCGTTAAATATTTTACTTATTAATCTATCTAATTAATTAATTAATAAACTGCGGGAAGAACAAGCAATGCGAGGAAAAAACGGATGGTCTAATAAAATAAAAAGTTTAAAAAGGGTATGGACCAGTCTATGGACAGTAAGAGCGTTTTTTTTTCCATATTCGTCCATCACCTTTTCAGTGATGGAACAGGCAAAGATCCTTAGACCGTACAGCCTAATCTACGTTTATACTTCTTCATATTTGAACAAGTGATGAGCTTAACTTAAAATATTAGTTATTTCTAAAACTTGAGTTTCTTGCCAAATCTACTCAACTGAACTAGACGAATTTGCTACAGGCCTGATTATAGTTGTTATATCCAGATCCAGTACTGAGTATAGTTGTTATACATAATTGTAATTTTGTCTCAAATAACTGCAATTAGCTTTTTCTCATTCCATTTATATAAAATAATCAGTAGATGGTTCTAAACGAACTAAGGTATTAATTAATAAGGTAGATATTAACTTTCAGCGTCATTCATAAGTTGAATGTTTATGGGTAAATTTAGATTAGGCTTTATGTGTATTAAAATGTTCTAAAAACATTCATGATCGTTGTCTCGCACATTACTATTATCTGTACTTTTCGAAAAGTATTACAATTAAACGATAATCAATATTTTAATGTGGTTTTATTTATATATTTCCCTTGTAGACCTGTAGTATAAAATGAAGTAATTTTCGCTGTCGTTCACTTAGTCCTTTTAAACTACGCAACGGATTTTATGCAGTTCGCTATAATAGCGTGTTTTAAGAGGAAGGTATATATGTATAATACATGTACAGCCGTCCAAACCGGGGCGGATAGCTAGTTATTAAATAAATATACACCAGAAACAGTGTTTCTATAGTCAATATTGGACAACTGAATTTAAAAACTTGACAAATGTACATTTTTAACGTGGGTTTTATTTCAATACAACATAAGACTACAGTTCAAAGTTCGTCGGTAATCAAAAAATTACCATTATTTAGTTGATGAAATGTGCTGTTGAAGTGAACTACAATGTTAATCAAAAGAATATGTATTTGTTTGTATCATCCAATTTTTCTTGAAAATATATATTTTTTAATATACTGTACGACCTAATGTAATAAGAAATGTAGTAAATAGGATCTAAGGGTTATTATCATACATTAAAGAAGTTTTGTTCGACTGGAAGGGGAATATTAACCTAACTAATAACCCCATTGCTAGTAATATACAATGTCAGGTTGTCCAATTTGTCCATCCACGCGGTTTCCCCTGAAAGCCGTGGTGGTAAATTCACTTTTACTAAGATGGGCTTACTGACCAGGACTGGCTCGTGCCCCGCCAGTGTAAACCATTAACGCAGGCAGGTACATAATTCCATTATAGAAATAATCTTTATTCAAATAAACTCAATACAAGCACTTTTGAATTGTCATATTTTTGGTTCTACCACTAATTTGGAACGCAGAATCATCATATCATCTGTAAAAAAATGTAGCCATAGTGCTGTCAATGTATATATACACCAATTCCATATTATAGTTATATTTACGTACTTAGGATAAAATTTCACCTCTCATCGTAGTTAAAATAATACATATATAGTAGTTTATTTTTTATTATAAAATAAGTAATTACAAAAAATACTGGGTAAGCTTAATTCTAGAAACTCCCATTTCATTATGAAAATCGTTTGGAAATGGATTAGAGACAAATCTGAAAAAAATACATATTACCACAGATAATATAATATTACATAACTAAACAATGTACTGGCTTAGTAACAGTGCTTATTGCAATAGGCTAAGTAAATCCCCGTTTCAGTATGAATACATTATGGCAAAAGATAGAGGTTTAATTAATGAAAACGGATATAATAAAAAAAAAACAATAATGTAGTAGTTTAAAAACAGTTATTGCAACAAGCTTCGATATTGTAATAAATTCATTGTGAAAGCCCCTTTTCACTATGATAATTGTATGGACATGGCTACAAGGTTTAATGAAAACACAAATAATAACACAATAATATCTATAGCTTTAAAAAAGCCAATGTAGTTTAGCAACTACTCGTACTTATTACAATAGGCTTTCATATGATAAATCATTCATTATGAAATTCCCTTTTCATTATAAAATTTATAGGTATGAATACAAATGTAAATAATGAAAATGATAGTAATAATAATACAATAATACAATCAGTACATTAATAGTTTGCAAATAATTAATATAATTTGGCAAATACTTACCACGATGAGTTTTAATTTATTAATAATCTAAAAGCGGTTATTGCAATAAGCTTTGATAATGTATCAGAACTTTTCTCTAGAGCCGTAATCTGCACTTTAATAAGTATTTACCTACAATATAAATATACATTACAGGGATGCAAAACACCACCCTTGTACAAATAGAGAATTGGCTTTTGTACCAGAATACTCTCACTCTCTTACAACTTCGAACGATTTGTAGGTTCTGATCAACGAATATAAAAAATACTATGTTAAAGCAAATTTTCAATTTACAAGTTTTTTATTTGCTCATACGCAACTGTTTTAAGGCAGATACATTTGCAATAAACCTTACATAATGTTGTAACATCTCATATCAGATATGAGATGGTACAGCAAAAACAGAACGAGGGAACGATCGCATTTACGAAGACTTCTTTGAAAATGCGATCATTCTCCTGTCCCACTCAAATGTTGATGAAAAGTATGACCTCAGCCAATGATTTAGAAGGAATTTGTATCCAGCAAGCAAAAGTTGATATTCAGCCGCTCCATAAGTTACTCCGAGGGTTTAGAGCCTTCTGTAATTGACGCCGATTAGTACGGTGAAGGTGTAAAGATCCTGCGGACAACAATATTAGAACAGTTCGAAAAAAAAGTTGGTACCATCACGCATCTACCACTAAACGTTGGTCAAATAAAATAGTGCGCACTCTATAGCTTTCCTGTTATACATATTCTAAACTTCTTCACGAAAACATGGCCAGACATTGCATTAAAGATGTTACACATCAATAATATTTACATTATGTAATATCAAGTAGGTAATATACTTGACAGTCAAACACAAGCTACGACAAAATGACCCTGTTTGTTTACCAGTAATTGACAACGAAATAGCGTTTCGTTAATTACGTAACAATGTTTTTGGTAAGTACATTTCACAATATTGTAAGTACCAAATGGTTTCCCGTAACAAGACCGGGGCGTAGTTATGTAACGTTGTTGCTGACAATTCTCATTTCATATATACTCAATTCTACATTTTTACAATTATATATTTTACCACTTCATGATAATAATTGTGCCATTAGATACTTTACAGAATCCAAATATCATATACAGTAGCTATTTCAAATCGCACTACTTATAGGTACTACCATTTCGAATCTGGTCGACACCAAAAAATGTGTCAATTTATATTTCTGACTGATTCTCTAGTGATGACAACACCAATAAATAAAAATTCATCTACTAGACAGCGTAAGGCTCAACCGCTTGCCATTTGGATATACCATTCTAAATTTAGGCATGTCGAGAGTTGCATTCAACAACAATCAGAAAGGTTATTATCATGAACAGTTTCTATAAGAATTGTTAGCAAGTACCTTACATAATCACACCTAATATTATTAAAAAGTTAATCTATTTCTAATTTCCTAAAACTGCCTTCTACTGATACAGTATCGTTTTGACCAGGTTTCGCTCTAGATGATATGATGCCCCTTGTGCTCAATATTTGCATATCGTCCAGTGCTAACACCTTTTTCCTCTGGTCGCTTATCAGTTGTTTAGTGAATGTTATCATATCCTGGAGTGGTATTTCTCCACCATATATTGTGGGCAGACATGCCACGTCTACTTTTTTGTGAAGCTGTTTTAGAGATGAATGTATCTGAAATTTATATAAAACTTTTGTATTAAAACAATATAGGAATAAGGTAATTTAAATAAACAAATTTAATACAAATAATCAAATACATTTCTGAATAGTCATAATTTATTTTACCTATTATCAGAATCCAACTGGCAAGAAGATTAAACAAGAAACTTGTCTTTTGGTATTTTAATTGAACATTTATAACAATGTTGTACATTTATAACTTCTATAAATATACAACAATGTTTTATTATATGTATATGTGCAACGTGATTCACTTAAAACAATGTTTGTATTTCGGATGTCCATATGCCACGGCTTTACCATCAGATGGGCATCTACTTGCTTACCACCATAACGATGGTGGTAAGCAAGTAATACAACGGTATTAAAGTGAAAACTGTGCTAGCTCTTCTATATTAGATCTAGGTACCAGTAGATTTAATATTGGTTTCATTTCCATAAGTACGGTAATTCTTACAGAACACAGTGATAATTTGTTGTCTATGGTATAGTGTTTGAACAATTGGTTCTCTATGGTTTGATAACGTTTACTTACATGAAGCCTTGATACCATTTTTTGTGTAACTTTGCTTTTTGCGAAGTCTATAATGTATTTGATGGCGGTTGGTATATTAATTAAGTGGCACTCCTTATGTCTCATTGGCATTGATTGCTGAAAAATAAAAAAACAAATATTAATTAGTAACTATAACTCGTATTCAGGTGAAAAGTATCCAATTTGTTAATTTAGTTGTGAGTTATAAGTGCACCAAGTTACATTCTAGTCAAACCGTGCCTATAGATTGTTTTATAATATATTTTTTATTTCTTCACAAATATAAACATAAATTATAAAATTTGTAGCCTCGTGCCCTAAATTAGATAGAAGATCTGTATCTTAGAAATCAAAGCTCGCATCTGAAATGGAATGTGATTGAAAATAAGCTGAACAACAAATGAAATAAAAAAGAGAAATAAGATAACAAAAATAAGTATACAGTATAATTCTATATACAAGGTTCTAATAGTTAATACAATATGTTGTAGAGAAATAAGCAACTAAACATATAACTTTCACATCTGTAAAAGCTATCAAAAATGTTGTGTGCTTTAGATGTAAGCTGATATATAAATGCGAATAGTAACTATGTTTTAAACTTATACGTTTTTCGTAAAGGATATGCTCATATATTTCTTGACTGATTTTTATAATTCTTTTAATGGGCTATGTTTCATTTCTAACTAGTTAATCCCGCGACTTCGTCCGCGTGGAAATTAACATTATTTTTCTTGAATAAAAGAATTTTTCTAAAATAAAAGTAGGCTAAGTTACTCCTTATTACATCAGCTACCTGCCAAATAAAGTCCCATCAAAATCGGCTCAGCCATTTCAGAGATTAGCAGGAACAAACAGACATACAGACAAACATTGTAAAAAATATTAATATGTACCGTATTTATATTCATATGCATGTAGTAAATAACTATTATTTCAACATTACAAACAGACACTCCAATTTTATTTAATCATAAACAAATAATCATTAACATACGTACAAAGTAGGGGCGGGTCCCGTACAGATTATAAGGTCGCGGGTACAAGTATTTAAAATTTTTTTTAATAAATTCTGTATACATGAAGATCAATTGATCTTCATGTAGTTCATTCGAAGTTTAGACTGTTTTAGACAATCTTTGAATATATAATTATATATTCAAAGATTGTCTAAAGCAGTCTAAACCGACACTTAGAAACACTTCAATTATATTCGCCTCATTGATTGCAGTAATACGATATTAGTAAACAAGGCTTTTAAACTCAATATTATCTTTACTTGCGCGTTACCTAAGTAAACTTACTAATACTCAATTATTGGTCTAGCGGTTTATTGCGCTGCAATAATCGCGGATTCAATTTCGACTCAAAACAACAAATTGTATTTATGATTTTTTACATTGGCCTGATTATTCTTCATTATATATAGTATTATTTAAGTATACACAAAAAATGTGTTTTGAATATCTTTCACTGACAGTATCCCTATCAAATATCTGCTCTTGGGGGGAAAGGGGATTGATAGTAATGTGGACTAATGGTTTTATTGCTAGCAAAGTACCTATGTTGTTCTCCAAGCGGTCCCCCCTGAAATCATCGTGACAAATTTGGAGAATTTGTCACAATGGGCTAACTGACCTGACCTGACCTCATGCTCATTTTATCATCCTCCACTGGTGCCCCGCCAGCGTAAATTGTTAACGCAGATGGATGCCCTATTCCATTATCATCCATAAAAAATATCTGCTTAGTATCAAACTAGGTATAATAATTACTTATTATATTATATTGTACGTCAGTAGTTATGACCCAAAATAGAGGTAGTAAAGAAAATCAGATATTTTTAATGCCGTTACATTTGTTACATAAATGTAATTAAGTAGGTATACGTTTTTAAAAGTATGTTAACGTCAATTGCATGAAATCATTCTCTCTGTGTTTACCGACATTGTCCTAAATAATTAAAATGGTGTTGTAGGAAAGTCGAAAGCTGGTTTAGGTTGAGGTTCGAGAAATTATGGTGATTATACAGTACATTTTATGGAACAATACATAATCATACACCTTCATGTCGGTAATCAATGGTAATAGCATTGTTGACAGTTGACGTCCGATGGCTGCAACGCTTGACATGGCCACCTTACGAGTTTATTTGATTAGAGCGAACCTACGGTCTTTTCGTTTATTTTGGATTGTAATCAATATTTCCATCAAAGAAGAGTCAGTCAGAAATATACATTTAAATACCTATTTAAGTGTCAAACAGACTTCACGACCTTTCGGGCATAGCAAATAGTTATCATACCTCGAATTTGGTTTAATATAACAAATTCTATTGTTTTTTATTTAGTACAACTTTTTTTAAAACACAGTAATGCATACGATCCTTCTGATGTTTAACGGTTATCGTAGCCTATAGATGCCTGGAACACGAGGGGTGTCTCCTGCGTTTCAACCCTAACCCCTTCTTAAATGCAAGTGATTGACATGCATACGAATAAACACAAAGAAATATTTGTTCCATACTGTCCTTACCTCGCCCCATTTCATCACTCTGGCGAAGTCAGTTGGATTCCAAGCGGTAATGTGCGCTCCAGTAACACCGCTGCCGTCGCCCACATGAGTGAACCCACAGATTTGATCGATGGGGTCTTCCAGCAGACTCTCGTAAATCAGGGTATGCACACGGCACATGTCCCAGCATGTCAACTTACTGGCATTGAATTTACCTGCGAACAAAAAATCATAATTCTCCAACACGGACTTACTGATAGATTTCTTGTGAGGAGTGTTACTAAATAGGTTTATTGACACCCAAGAAAATAAAAACAAAAATTCTATAGGACCTTTCAGCCTCTTATACATGCCAAAACTTTTTATCACTATACCTTCTATAACATCATGAATTCATCACTTAACCCTTAGGAGTCGACTCGTCACATTCGTATATCCATACCAAATCATTTTGTCTTCCACTAGCAGCCGCCAGAACTAGCAATTGTTTATTTATTGAAAGATATGTCATATTGCATCCACTAACGGACGCTGGGTAAGCATCAGTGGTTTCTGATAAGGTAAGCATGAAGTCAGGTCAGTTAGCCCTATGGGCGAATTCACCGGAAATTTACCTGAACAGTATAGTGATAAAAATAAAAATGAACGTGTATAAGTTGCAAAACAACAATGAGTATAGTGTGGCTTACAATTACATTTCATCGGTCAAGAAGTTAAACAACACAAAGTAAATTATACTTTCGCCTTGTACAATATAATTAGCACGGGTCATTCACACATGAATTCATAAAGCACACGCAATTCGCGTCACAGCAGTTACCATTAAACATTTTGTAATGAATGAATAAGTAAGAGAACAACAAAGAGGTCTTACTCATGTTGTAAATGATGACCCGTCGACCTTTGCTGTCCCGAACTGGAGATACCGCCATGTACCTGCAAGTTAAGAAATATTTTGAAACTGAAATTATAATCGTCAAGAGTTATATCATTACATTACAGTTACTGTATGTCCTGTTGTTCCAACTAATTCTACTAATATTACAGAAGCAAAAGATTGTATAAATACATGGATATTTCTAAAACCTGATTTAGAATAATAATCATATTCCTGAACAATTCACACAGCGCCATCTACTCCCAAGCTAAGCTGAACTTGTGTTAATTGTCAAGAGTTATATCATTACATTACAATTACTGCATGTTCTGTTGTTCCGACTAATTCTACTAATATTATAGCAATAGAACTATGTATAAATAGACGGATATTTCTAAAACCTGATTTGCTATAATATTCATATCCCTACATAATGCACACAGCATCTTCTAGTACCAAGCTAAACTCAGCTTGTGCTATAGGTACTAGATAAGACAACTGATATAAATACTTAGACATTTATCACCTAGATCGATACAAGCAATCATACTCGTTAATATAAATATTTCTATTGTGTGAGGAATCGAAACAGCGACCATAAGAAGTAACGCGGATAGCTAAACCGCCAGACCATCAACGCATTATGACTTCCTATTAAATTAGCTACGATGAGCAAACTATTCTGAATTCAACGTAATCTTATCATCCTTCACAGTTGCCCTCGCTATTGGCGCAGGCGAGTTTACCATTCCGTAATAAAAACTCTAAAACGTAATGTTTGCTTGCCCATCGCTATCTTCTAACACGGAAGTTCAAGGCTGCAACGCGTGGGAACTTTCTAATAGTTTGCGATATTATCGCATGCGGAATTGAACCCCGGTGCCGTGCTGTTACTTAACGTGGATCGTATCTCTGTTAACCATGTCAGTGGGTTAATTTCGTAATTTCAATGCCAATATATCTTTTTATCATTGTTCTTTGTATTAGCAGGTATTTTTATTAGAAAGAGATGAGAACAATCGTTTAATATATTATTTGTTAATTTTATCTTTCAAGTACGTTGTTGCATTGAGTGGACTTTAAGAAGATAAACCTAGATTTGGACTATTTCGTTGTGTGTAATATTTGAAAATTTCGTCAATTCTTAACTAACTGAATTTCGGTACTATCAAAGAGATTATTTTTGTATATAATAACCAGCTGGTTATGAACAAATAGACTGGATTTCTTTTGGTTGTATGTATACTGTGCTGGTACTGACGCCTGCGCTAACAGTATATACTGGCGAGGTACTAGTGAAGAATGATGAATTACTAATGGGCTTAAAGAACCATAATGTGGTTTTTCTAAAGGGACCACTTGGAGATGGAACTGATTGCTAGCCTTTAGGGGCCTTTAGTTCTCACTATTAACAATCCCGTCCTCCTTTGTGATCATTATGTAAACTAATGTAGTTTTCTAGAAACTTTTTGCCACGCACAACTACATTGTGGAATCACCTTCCAGCAATGGTATTTCCGAACCGATACGATATTGAAACCTTCAAGAAAAGAGCTTATTCCTTTTTAAAAGGCCGACAACGTACTTGCAATTCCCCTGGTGTTGCGGATGCTCATGGGCGGCGATAATCACTTACCATCAGGTGAGCCGCATGCTCGTTTGTCCCCAGTGTTATAAAAAAAAACAGAATTATTACCCATTATTGATTATATCTTGTATATTCTCGTCTTCACAATCCATCTTCATAAAAATTTCAGGATAGTATTTTCTCAAATTCAAATATTTTAATAGTGTTTGTTGGGCCATTGGCACGCTGTACTTTTTATGGCGCAGAAAACGTAGCAAGAAGGCGTCATCTGAAAGTAATTAAGCATTGTGAATGTAAAAATTATATATACATAGTTGTATACTAATACTCTACTCGTGAAGTATTGTAAAGAGTGAATTGTAAGAGAGTGAAGTACACTCCGGAAACACTGCACCATTATTTTACTATTTAAAACATCTGTAAAAAATGTACCCATACTTGAATCAGTAAGAAATTTCATTTGTGTTCTGGTTTGTAAGGAGAATTGTCATTACCATACTCCTTTCAAAATTTATGGGGTACGGGAAAATTATCTTAGAGCTCACAGAGAGAAATGCTCGTTGTCTCGATATTCACAGCATGTATAAAGATTTTCATACTGTTCATGCATACATAGAGAGAGGTTAGGTAGTTAAATAGATGATAGACGATATAGAGAACACTACAGGGAGGGTGGCTCTACCCCCCCCCCCCCTTTTTAGATCTCCGTCCATGCAATCCCCATGGAAACCATAGTAGTTAATTAATGGGGAAATTGGTACAATCATGACGAATGATGCTAACAGTCTGGACTTTACTGTTAACTTATGAATCGGGCACTAGTACCCCGTACACCATTAGAGCTGGCGGATGCACCAATCCATTGTCATCCTTGCCTTGATTATTATTTTTAGCAGTTGACAAAAAAAAAGTTTTATACCTTGTCGTACATTTTTGATGTCATTATTCTTCTGTATCCAATCCCTCATGATGTGCAGCGCCTGATCTCTCGTAGAGGCCGTCTCTCTGAGTTCTTTCGCTGCCTCTGCCGCCAAGCTCTGTGTGGTGCGAGTGACCCTCGACCGATCCACTTTCTCGCTGGCTACATTCCAAGTAGTTCCTACAATGGACAGTATACTGGCCGTACTCATTTCGAACGGTCTGTAAAAAAAATAGTAGACTTTAAATTCCGGCGACTTATGCAAGAAATAATCGATCGCAAATTACATGATTAGTTAGATAATAATCAGCGGGCATACTGGATGGGCATTATGTGCAATTAGTTTTTCGAATTTCGTTTAATCAAGGAGACTGCAATGCTCAAACATCAATTTTACATTTAATAACCATTTCCTTATAATATTTACGTTATTTCTTTAATAACGTATAATATGCGTTTAACATAAATGTATAATGTTCGTATTTATTAGGAAACAAACATATTTCATAAATTTAATTGTGCATTTTAGTTTTTATTATCGTTTTGCCTAACATCACAGATAACATAATATTACATATAACATATAAAATATGGATACGTTTTAAAATATTGCAATTTTTAATAAGGGTTCAGTTTTAAACTAGATAGCAATGTGTCAATCATTTTAGCTATTTTTTTTTAATAGTTATTAAAGACATTTCAAGACATAACACTTCATGTTATTGACAATATAATTTTATATCTTTTTTATGGCATTTTAAATGGAAAAGCTCTGGCTAACCATTTGATGGTAAACGGTAGGTATATACATATATGAACAGCATGTCTAATGTCACGGTCATCAAGTAACAGCCGTGATAATGCCATGTTATTCCGGAGAACTAAGGTATCACGCCTCATACCCTGTAATATCACTGTATGAGAGAGATTGTCAGACAGATTTGGCCTTTACTCGAAACATGGTTAAAAAGCAACATACTTGGGCACTAAAATGGGTGCCTATAAATAACAATAAAGCTTTTTTTATTTCCATATCTATCAGTATGTTGAACAAATAAAAGTAGAAATGTTGTTAGTGTATATTTTTTTGTTATTTGTTAGTTGTTAGAATTACAATTACAATTATGCTATCTGTGGAGAAGGACGGTGATCTTTAGGTGAAGGCCTCCTCCATCTTTTTCCAAAATTCTCAGATTTTGCATATTTTATTAATATTAAAAATGCGAATGTTTGTGAGTATGGATGGATATTTGTTAGTCTTTCACTCATAAACTACTGAACGGATTTTGTTCAGTAATGTAGCTAATACAATACATCAGAATAACATATAGACTATAAATTTATTAAAGCTAGTACATAATAATGTGACTTATTTAATTTTAATTGTTTATTAATTACTTATTTTGATATAACTTATTATTTAGTGAATTTATAGATATAAAAAAAATGCTTTTGAAAATAATACTATACATGTAAATAAAAATTGGAGTGACTGCTTGTAATATTAAAATAACTATTTTTTGCTACATGTATAAATATATAAATACGGTACATACACCAAAGTAGTAACGTTTTTTGTCTGTCTGTCTGTTTGTTCGGCTAATCTCTGAAATGGCTGGACCGATTTTGACGGGACTTTTTTTGGCAGGTAGCTGATGTAATAAGGAGTAACATAGGCTACTTTTATTTTAGGAAAATAAAGTTATATCTCAATCGTCAAGCTGACGATGTCGCGAGATCAGGTAGATTAAAATAATTTTGAATGTGCTATGAGACGTAGAAAACTATTCAACCGCATATGGACAAAATGCATATAAATCGATATAAATCGATGGTCCTTGTTATTTTATTCCTGCAATGACAAGGTAATAATTTATACGGATCATTAAAATCCTTGGGAAGGAACAAGTGTCTACAATCATGTGCAATTTTTACATATTTAGCGACGTTGGTGATTTAACGTTTATCGTACTGGTTGACTTGTAATTTAATGTCGTGGACATTATTTACAAGTCAACCAGTAGGTTCGATAGCCGTACTGCACTGTACATATATTCATATTATAGATATTTTTATATTATATGTGAGTATTTAAAAGAACATATATATATATATATGTTTAATTAGTAGACGCTGTGTGGGTTGTCGCAGTATTAAGGCGACGCATTGCAAATATTGACCTCAGATACCTTAACTTTTCTCAGCAATTACAAATCATTCGGGGCTGATATTTAGGTATTTCATTTTTCAGATCTTTGACATCATATTGACAGTTCTCGTTACATGATTGATTAACTTTTGTAGCAGAGAAAAAAATCTCAAAGATTGGTCTTATAAAATATATGTTTGATTCGTATAAGAAAACGGGACTGTTTTAAGACTCGAATTTTCCAATATACACTATACTAAATACCCACATAAATAGTACAATTCAGATGTATGTAATAACCAATAGTTTTTATTTTAAACAAGATAAACTGTTTTTCCGCATAAAAATCTCTTGCTCACAAGTTGTTTTGTATGAGAGTTAGAGCAAGTCAGTCAGTCCCCGGCCCCTGCCAACGTCGGACCTGTGCTTAGCGCGGAGAGCTCGCCTGAGAACGCGCGCTATCAAATCGTAAATTATTTCGTCATACACCCGCACCATATTATAGCGTACGCTATAATATGGTGCGGGTGACAGTTACTTATTTTACATTTAACAATTACTGTATTTAAGTTAATACAGTTAGTAATGATTTATTGTACATATTACGAATGTAATACTAAGTCATAATTTGTAAAGTAGTGACAATTAATTGTTAAAAATGATAAAAACTTTTAGTATTAATGTAAAGAAATGGTTAAGAAAATATAAACAAATTTTACATTATTTTGATTTCGTAGTTATTTATAAATAAAAATAGGGCACTCCCATTATCTATACATATAAATAAAATTGGAGTGTTTGTTGGTAATATTGAAATAACAGTTTTTTACTACATGCATACAAATATAAATACGTTACATACACCAAAATAACATTTTTTACCAATTTTGTCTGTCTGTCTGTCTGTTTGTTCCGGCTAATCTCTGAAATGGTTGCACTGATTTTGACGGGACTTTTTTTGGCATCTGGCTAAAATAAATAGTCTTGTACGCCGTTTGGTAGGCTTTTACATTATTTTATTGTAAAACTAATTTTATTTTTTATTTCTTAACTCAGGAAGTTTTGTTTTGCTTAGATTTTTTTTTATTTCGTTAGTTGCTGAAGTAACAGGTACAGGTAAATAATACTTATTTATGCAATTACCTTTCATTAGACGTTAAGAAGAATTTTAAAATGTTAATAACTGTTTATCTAGAACAGGGGTGAGCAACCTTTTTTATCAACGGGCCAATTTAAATTTTAAATATTTTGACGGATCGCACGCATAAGTAACACTTATTAATAATAATTAACAAAATTATTTGTAATGTAATGTAATTTATTTGTAATAAATATTTACATGATATTGAGACACAAAACCCTCAATAATGTAGGTTATCCGGCCTTTTTACCAATATGTCCCGCCAAACTGGATGGTCTGTCCGGCTATTAGGATTGGCGAAGTGACAACCCTACACCCAAAGAAAAAATCGACTGACTCATTATAACGAAGTAAAATCGTGGAGTCGTCTATGAATTTATACAAAAATTAAATATTGCTGTAACTTAATTCTTTTACTATTTTAAGTAATGTAATCATTTAGTTACCCTTTTTACATTTTTTACACTATTTTATTTACTTATACGAATAAATGTTATACGTACTAATACTAATAATATATAATATTGAATCCAAAATAAAGTATTTTTTTTCTCAATGTTACTACATATTTAGTGTAATCAAAAAACTTATTGATTGTCAATAATTTCACAAAAATATTATTTAATTAATCATTGTTGTCTGTCCGACTATATGTTGGAGTATCACATAAAAAATTGTGACATATTTTCAACTTTATTTTCTCCGATAAGTACTTTTTATCTGTAGTAGGTCTAGGTAAGCACTTGTCTTTGTAGCTATGGAAAGCAAAACAAAGTAATGGTGAAATATTTGGCTTCGATTATACTATACAGGCTGTCCCAGAACTCAATTTCAAGCAGTGAGAGAATTGATTGTAACCATCATGAGAAAAATCTGAAAAAAATCTATCCCATGCAGTTTGAAAATTAGGGGCATTAAAGAAAAACTTAGAAATTTGGTCAAACTATAACCATTATTCGGTCATTGTGCTTAATTTTTATTATTTTTGTTCATTTAAACTTTGGAACCATAAAGCCAAATAACATTTCTAGAATCACAGTAAAAAATAATGACACAATTGCCCCAAGTTTTCTAGAATTAAGACTATTTGTTAAACTACATTTAAAATTTTCATAAATTGTCGAGTTTGAAAGGCCCTCTTTTAAAAAAATGTACTAAAGTGCCTTGGCAAGTACCATTAAAAGTTCGGACATTTAATCAGGATTGTAAATATATAATACTTGTTAGTTTCATACTAAAAAAAAAAACGAGAAAAAAACCTCAAGTAACCCGATTTTTGCTAACCCATTTTACTCCGTTCAAATGTTTCTTATTCACACAAGCTTATAGTAGTAGGTTCTTAATTTTACGGCAAAATGATAAGAGAAATAGGTAGTGGACATGTTGTCGTGAGCGAGCGAGACAGATGTGCCACCCAGTGAGACGGAGATGCGTCGTTTAAACGCGCGCGAATGAAACAGATACAGTCGCCATACCAAGCAAATGGCTACGCTACCAGTCTGACACCAGTTAGTACATTTTGATCTTTCTGTTTCAGCTTCAGCTCAGCCTACTGCGCGTCTTTCCGTATTCGCTGTTGTTGGCTTCTTTTTTTGGACTTGGATTTTTGTGAATTGAACTTGTTGATTCCATACCGACAACTTTGGGTTGTCTCTTTTGGAATTGGACTTTTGTGTTGGTATCCTTGTTATTTACTTCACAAAAAATTGCGAACAAGCACTTCATTTATGGGGAATGCAGATGCAATGCAATTGCTGCCGCTAGGCTTTATCGTGAAAGATATCCAAATTTAGAGCGCTATCCAGATCACTGCTTATATGTACCGGCCGCACGGCGGCGGCCATTTCCCGAATCAAATACGGGCTGGAGGTAGAACTCGCTTTCCTTATTAGGAAGAAGTGTTGCAAAAGGTCGCAGATGACCAAAGTATTTTCGTTTGTACACAAATGAAAATACTTTTCTTCTTTTTTTCTTTTTTTTTCTTTTTCCCGTTCTTTCTTATTGTAATAGCACAGCACATCGTATTTTACAAAGACCCGAAATGCATCCGTTTCACGTACAACGAGTTCAAACTTTTCTTCCTCAATATTATCCTTATTTAAATAAACCTAAACTAGGTTAAGATTTTTCTTTATTTTAATTATTTTACTTACTTTTGTTGACTTTGATAAAAGTGGCGTCATATCTGTCTCGCTCACTCATGGCAAACATGTCCACTATCCATCTCCCTTATTATTTTGCCGTAAAATTAAGATTCCTTGGTAGGTCCAAGGAAATAAATAAATAAAAAAGTGAAATAATGAAAAGTATTATATAAATTTATTAATACGTGAAGTAATAACTTTGTATCCTTTTTACGAAAAACAGCGCGGACGGATGAATATGAAATTTCGCGTACTTATAGTTTATATAGAAAAGGTTTGCAGAATAGTCATATTTTTTTATTTAAATTATGCATAAAAATATAAATAATCATGTTCAAACCTATAATTATTCAATAATTTCATTTGTATGAAGTTAATAGATCTTTTATGATTAGGTTGTAATTGTTCACGTCCTTTTTACATGTAATTAAAACTTAATATTTATTATAATAATTTATAAATTACTGTAAAAGTTTTACTATTTTGTCATAAAGTGTATATCTTTACGTACTTTACTTTACTTATGTTAAAATACTTACTTATATAAATAAAATTAAAGGCACATACATTATTACTAAATTTAGGTTTATTGTATCAAATATATAATATATATAGATTTTTTAATTGATATACCTATCATTCACAGAAACGCAGACTTATTGTCTCTTTTATAAAGTAACTAACCTTCGTATATTTTCACATTTCATTTAACGTAAGTACGTTAATGTAGTATACATTAAAATATCTAGCTGTTTCAAAAAAATGTCGTTGGGAAATAAATAAACGTCGTAATTACCAATTACAATATATACGGAAAACACAAAGATTATTTTTTGGTATTTCTTTCAAAGATAGTAATAAAAGCACTAGTTTACGTTAATTATAATCACGGGAATATGTAACTCTACCTCAATATTTCTATTTAATTCTTTACTTTAAGAATCTTTTTAATTAATTCGTATCGTAGTTAGTTCCACTGTATTGTAAATTCTAAAATATCAATGTGCCTTCATAAATATAAATTATATAAACAAACAGGAAGACTCCGTAATAGTTTTGTTCAATTGGGGACCGAAGCTTCGTCTACTTGATTCACGCGTTACATTGCGACACGGACGCATGTTCGTGATATCGTGGTACGGGGAGAGCGAGCGAGCGCTGGCGGTCGATCGGCGACACGTAAAACTATCGGGGTGCATGAGGTGCGCAGAGCGCGGGGCCCGATTTTGAAGTAATAGTTTATCACGGCGTCGCCTTAATGATATTATTATTTACTATAAGTGCCTTCAACTTCATATACATCTATATATATCTTTACATTTGTAGATCTATTAACTATAATCGCACTATAAAAATAAATAAAGCATTTATACAATAATTATAACAATGGTACATTTAATAATAATAAGAAAAAATAACAATAAAATTAATAAATTACTCCCTTGGAAGGTGCAATAGAATAGAATAGAATTTATTGACTCTCTTAACACATCTAACAATATAGACATTAAAAAACTGGCAACCCGAGAGTAGCGTGGACCGGAAAATACTTATTGTTTAAATGTTTATAAATAAAATAATAATGATAATACGATTTCCTTGTCTGTAATATGAAATACTTCAAGGCACAAGGAAAAACAAAGTTTTCTCTTTGTCGAGATGTCTCGATTAGAATATATATATAGAAATTTCATGTCACAGACGTCACAGTGTTTTTAACAAAACTTCCAAACTTATTTTTGTATATTTCGTAGATCTGATTTTAAAATGTATTTCTTTTATATCCCTACCTAGGGTCTGACCATTTTTTTGACAGAATTTATGTAGAAGAAGTTATTCATGGTAGCAGTAAGTAGATAGGTGAGTGTTAAATGTAATAGCATAGATAATATAATATTGTGATAGTAAGTAACATTATTAAAAATGCATCATGCCAGCTCATATTCTGTGTATACGATCTATCTAATGTGAGTATTTACAATGTGTTGCATTTAACACAACATCGATATTAGACTATCCCATGTCTAGTCAAATAAATACAGGGTCATTTATCATTATAATTTGTCACAAAAAAATAAAGATTTGTTCTATTTTGTTCTTCTTGACTTGTCCTAAATACATACATACAGTTTAGTCCATTGAAACGCAAGGTTGAAACATGAAAGACGACAATGAACTTACTCATATGTGATATTGTTCTTCATAGTTCTATTTAAAACGACCTCTATTCACGACTTGTATTTTCTATGACAGCGTTACCTCGAATAGTCCCCTCAACATTGTATTGAATAATATTCATTGGGTACTTATTGCAAAATCGACACTGAAGCTACACGGCTGGTATTGTTACAAATTGTAGTATAACTGGTACCTATTACAAAAGAGTTCTGTTTATTTAACATTGAACTTAACCCTTGTTATATTCGCAAAATTTTCTAGATATATTTATAAGGTGCATGAAATTTATAAAACTTCGTACTTACTTTGTTAAACAACAACATAACATAATAAATACCAGTAAATTAGTGTACTATTACTTTTATTACTTTTTATTGCGTATTAGTATTGGAGTACATTGTGTATTTATTTCTAATGAGTAAATTACAAAACAATTTCGATTATGGTTAGAGATGGTATCCCAATGTCGTACCCCCTAAATACCAAACGTTTAGTTAACGTTCAGTGTAATTCAAATGTAGAACTTATAAGTTAGATGTATATTTCTTTGAAATCTCTGCTGGCATAAACTCTATGATCTTTCCTAACACTTTCTTAGTATACTCCGACCATGTCGACGGGGAGCCGAAGGCATTCTTTTGGATTGCCAATGTGGCAAACCCTGCCATCACTTCAGGGCTGCAATTCTCCAGCTTGCCAATAATTATAGCTGCTTCCCTGAAAGCAGACGGATGTATCCTCTCTATATCACTTCTATTAAACGCGCATAATATTTGTCTCATCGCCGTCAAGTCATAATACGTGTAATCCTCAGGTTCTTTTCCTGCGAAGTCTTCCCGAACCCGATCAGCTATAGCCATAAGCTGCTGAGCATCCAAGTTATAATTCAAACCGAAATTCTGTATAACATCAATATTACTAAAGGTAATGTTTGCGTAGTCATCCGGGGTGACCGCTGTGGTAATCCAGTGTAGAAGTATGAGCACGCTATCAGGAATATTGGCGATGCCACTGTAAAATGCAACGATTGATTGCCATATGAACTCGGCTTCCGGTTTCGGCAACTGCTCCTTTCCCAAGTAGGCCAAGCACTGAACCATATCTTTCGGTTGAATCGTTTGTAACTCTTTTATTGTTAATTTGGTTTCAGCGGGCAGCACTAAAATTTCATTGCACGTTAGGCTATGGGAGAACGTTATATTTATCAGAAATATGAACGCGATAAATATCATTTTTAGTTTTTTTTTAATTATCCATGTAATTAAGTAACAGTATTACAAGTAGAATGATTTATCTTTCAGACTCAGTGGCGTAATGGCGTGTATTCAGGAAAGCCTGAGTAGCCATGTGATATTTAATTTACAGGGTAATCAAGTTATATCCAGTCCATTATTGCCCTTTAATGAACATTGCTACTGAATATAATATCAACTTTTAGCTATACGAAACGGAGTATATAGATTATGTATCTGATTTAGTTTCTTAGTACTGCCTCATGTTAAAATAATATATTATATTTGTATATCAACTAAATATATAAAGAATTCCAGTTTAATGTATCATCAATTCTTTTCCTATCCTACTATAACAAGTAATAACTCTATAAGTAAATCCTATAATGTACTGTTTCGTCCCACATCCTGTCCTGATGGTCGTAAAATAGGCACATTGGCCCAATGTCCTTTGTATTGAGGAAGTACTTGGTCGCTACAACTTTTGACCCTATTGCTAGCAATGTACCATGTCAGATTGACCTGAACGCAGTCCTCGCCTGGAAAGCGTCGTGCTAAATTATTGATGAATCACCATCTTCGGCTTACTAACCTGAGGTCATCGTCAACCTAACTTTCCTCACTGGTTACCTGCCTTTAGTACAGGCGGGTGTATCATTTCATCATGATTCATTACAAAAAAGACCTATACTGTCGAGGCATGTGTGTTAGGATTGGCAACCCTGACAAGTACCTACCATAAACGTGTAGGTCATTAAATGGAGGTACTTGCTGGTACACCTCGCACGCGATGTTTAATTATTTACCACTTTTTCCTTTCCAATGAGTATATTTCTACTAATAATAACCGATATTTAAAATTCAATAAGCAATTGCAGAACAGCGAACACGTTACTTTAAAAACTTGCAAAATATGTACATTGTCCAGTCTACAAATGCCGCCGGCATATGCAATATATCTATACTACACGAACATCGTACCTATATAAAGCCGAGGGGGCTTTAAAATTAGAGATTGGGTAGAATCACGGGGTACAGCAATAAAAGTTACTCAAATAACAACCCAAACACCTTCTCCCAGGTCGCATTTTAGAGCCATTTTCGAATGTCGATGTCCTGGTGTATGCAACACATAACAAACTTTATTTAGCTTAGTATATTTGAATTCAATATAACAGGGGACCACCCTATGGCGGTCTCTCAGTACTTTAGTTTGTTATCCGTAATTATAGTACTGGAGATGGCCAGAAATTAAGTTACACATTTTTTAGTATTAATTCGAACATAAGGCCTTTAAAGTGTAAATCATTCTATTAAAGTACTAGAACCACGAGACTAATACTTTTTAATGGAATTAATAAAAGAATTATTACATAGCTAATTGTAATTGTAAACATTAGGCGAAGAAACATTTGTAATAGCAAATCAACAAGATGTAAAGTGATTTGGCAGTTTTGATCAAGTTGGTCGTCAGCCATTTTGCAATTCCAAATTCCTATATCTAAATTTAGGCTTCAAGTACAGGCACCTACTGACTTAAACCAGTTCTCTCTTTATGGGTTTATAAAGCCTACAACCTTTATATTTAGTATAAATTGATAAGTTGACTGAGATAATACAATTTTTTTTAAGTTTATATACGAAATAAATTCTATATACCATCAGGGTAAAATTTTTAATATATTCTTTATTGCATAGATAATATATATAATACAAAGATATTATAATTTAGAGATTATTTTTGTAAATTTAGAAAGATAATTTTTGTAAACTTCATTTACATTTACGTTCATGAAATTTTTACGTGAGATCTGTTGGGTATTAAATATGGATTTCTCGTTGGTTATTATGATCATTGTAATAAAACTAGATAGTTGTTGATAAATGAAAATAATTTGTTTTCGTATATTGTTAAAAGATCAATTACAATGAAAAAAATAAAAGAAGAACAAGTGACAGAAACGTTTAAAAATATATGACTATAAAAAAAGTATTAACAAGAGGATAATTTCCAACAAATCTTTTTTATACGTTATTGATTTTTTATGATTCCTGTCTGAAGGAACGCGTGTAGTTTATTTCCATGAATTTAAGTAGATAATATATACGAACACAATATTTTTATTAAAAATATTATTTAATATTTGCAACAGCAATGGGTCCTGAATCTAGACGGGGAGAGAGGGTGTATTTGCTTTTTTGTGTCTGGATGCTGGGGGGCTAGCAACTCCCCTGTAATTGAATGCCAGACGAGACTAGCCACCCCATGGCGTCGCGTCGGGACGTATTGATCCACTGCAATATATCGATACATACATTGAGTATATTACTTAGTTGCTGTTGCGATGCTTATTATTTCATTTTATTGGTACTTACTTCGTAAATAGACAAGACCGCTGTGGTCTAGTCGATGCCGGTGTCGGTGTGCCCATGCGCAGACCTCAAAAATAGTGGATTCAATTCTTTCCATACAAAAAATCAACCTTTGTACGTCATTTTCTTTTAATCAATTAATTAAAGCTGAAAATCAGTACTTTGTTCTCTGAACAATCTGCTGCATTGAATTAAAGAACATTTGTATTGCTACGGATCATATCAATATTATGTAGAACTATTGTTCATATTTATAAAAGTGTATTTATATTTGAATAGTCAAATACAACAACAATTTACAGACGCAACAACAACATTCAAATAAAAAAAATATATATTGACTGATTCTCCAGTGATGGAAACCATGATAACAAATATTATTAATTAGGCTTGTCCTTTGCGACATTAGATCTAATATACCTTGCCTTGTGAAATGATAACCAAAACATGGACAGTCAACAATACCTCTAAACTAATATCCGGGATAGAGTTATCCGGGGTAACAAACACAAAAGTACATTGTTATTACTTGTTAGTTTAGTCAATTGTCCAATATGTCTATTTTGGAATGTACAAATAAATATATAGTTAATTTATTTGTACATTCCAAAATAGTTTTTGTTACGTGTGTATCAAAAATGAACAAAAGGTGTGTATATACGCAACCACTTAACACATACGCCAGAAAAATACACCATGTTGATAATAGCAAACGTTTTATGTGTTACGTATATTCATATCACTTGGACATTGCAATACATACGTATTGACAGCTTGGTTTACGCAATGAACGATATTTGAAGAGAGAAACGGGCCCCAACAGCAAATAGGTTCTTTATATTTGTTTGATCGTGTTCAGCAAACGTACCTTCATAATTTAGTAATTGTGTTATAAAGTGGCATAGTTGCCACTTTATAACATCGTTGAGTAGTTAAAACTCAATTTCCGTCAATACAATGGCGTGACATATTACACTAAGCAACACTAAGTCAATACGACAGAAAAAAACTTTGATCTCTGGTCAATACCAACTCAAGTACACGTCTTGGATCTATGGAACTTATTAGAATAGTTGTAAGTACATCTTTACACAGTATAAAATGAAGTCGTTTTCGCTGTCTGTCCGTTTAGACATTTTAAACTACGCAACGTATTTTAATGGACTTGTTAGAAATAGATAGAGTGATTCAAGACATAAGTTTATATCTGCCGACGGCCTCGTGGTCTATCGGTATAAGAGACCGCGTTTCGTCCGACGGTCGCGGGTTCAATTCGTACGTTACATTTGTATTCCTGAATATGATTGTTTGTATCCTGAATATATTGAGTATGAGTGTTTTCTATGTAAAGTATGTATGCATTTACAAAAAAAATACATAAGTATTTATATCCAGTACCCATAACACAATTGCGCTGTGTTAATTGTCCAGAGTTATTATTATGTATAATACATGTACACCCGTGCGAAGCCGAGATCTATGTATATATATATATATATATATATATATATATATAATTAATCACAACCTGTACAGGAAAGATATAGGTATGAGATAAACTATTATTGTAATAGAAATAGAAGTAATCTTTATTCAAATAAACTTAATATAACTACTTTTGGATAGACATAATTATATTTTTTCTACCACTCATTCGGAATGCAAACTCATCACAAGAACTTCCAACAGTAATTGAAAGACAACAGAATCTTAATAATAATTCTAAGAATTATTGTCTGTTTGTCCATGCGTTATACGTCCTTTCAGAAATGGTTTAACCGATGTGGGTGCGGTTATCACTATTGTATTGTGGTAAGATTCTTGTAAATTTAGTGTAAGTAAAAAAGAAGTTAAAGAAGGCGTCTTCCGGGCTGCAATGATGATGATGATGAAAAAAGAAGTCATGGACTATTTTCATTCCCAATATATATAAGTACACCAATACTAATTAATTTAATTATTTTATCGCATTTTACGGGAATCGAATCCGCTTCTTTTAGCATGATTTGGATTAAACCGGTAGACCATCAAAGCAGCGTGCAAACGCACGAATAGGGAAGTTAGTATTATAAACAAAGCTATTATAATTATGCATATTAAGTAGGTAAGTACTGATTCAGCATGATGGTATTAACATCCGGCTTTAATACATACCAATGTTACAATGTTCAACGATATACAAGACAGCAAGGAAATACAAACTTTACAGATTTTGTCCAGTACAATAAGGAAGGAACCTGGCAGGTGTTCCTATATATTTATACATGAAACAAAATCTTTGTATCCCTTTTTACTAAAAAAATGCGAAATACACTTGCGCGTGCGCAATTTCGCATTTCTATAGCCTATATAGAGAAGGAATGCAAATTAATATTTTTTTAAATGTACATAAAAATACATTAATTCGATAAAAAAATACATTACACATACTATCGTGTATTTGACTTTGTTTGTTGTTTGAGTGATCAGTACCAGTTATAGCAGTATAGTCTTTGACAATAGAATCTTACTAAAATTCAAACTTATAACCTTAGTTAATTATGGTCGAATCTCGATCACTAAGCCACAACTATATTATGTATCTATACAAAATTAAATAGCCGTAATAACTAAGAGAATTCCTACAA